TCGGCCCCCTTAAATGTAAGTAACTTGTCAAAAACCCCGTCGTAGCAATGACTCTAGATAGGCAATATGAGGCAAATGTATCTACAGGCGTTCGCCCTCACCAAGTTATTTAGATTAAACAAATATACCGATTATTTCGATCCCGAATAGATCTATATATATATATATATATATATATATATATATATATATATATATATATATATATATATATATATATATATATATAGATACGGTAGCAAGATAGAAATAAGCTCTGAAAACAATGCAAACATTCCGCTGTCCAGCTGAGAGAACGGGTGCTGATTCAACGTTATCTGAATTGGACTATATTGTTGAATTGGGACGAAATCAATAAAGATACTCTAGAGAAGAAGGTGGACACCTTGCCATATATCTACCAGCAACGTGTGACGTATCCAGAGAGGTTAAATTGACTCTTTTTCCACGTAAAATCCGTAGAATGCAGGAAACCTCTTCTTGTAAAAGATGTTTCGGCTGAGAAAGCCAGACCCAGTGGTGGGTATCACAGATGAGGATGATGTAATGCCGCGAGGATCATAAGATGGGAAGCGAAATGATCAGAGTAATTAATCGGTCGAACGGTATGGAAACGTTAGTTACAAATGAAAACTACGTTCAACGCACTGCGCGAAAATAACCTTCGTACACGGAAGTGGATAGCACTTATTTCACGTTCACAATGACCTGTAGTATGTTTGAAGTGTTCGTCAGCTCCAGAGTTCTTTTACCCCAGAAGTTTGTTCACTTTTGCGAACGAATGAGAGGTCGATTTTGCTATCATGTTATGGAACAGCTATTTGTTAGGAGTGTGGATTCATTGGCCAATAACTCCGAACTGAATACTGAATACTGGTTCAAAGCAGCGAGTAGAGCTTTCTCTGTGTAGCTGCATCTTTCGTCGCTCTTGGACATTTACGCCTTATTTATCGTTTCGCTCTTTATATTTTGCCTCTACATAGTGTTTGTCTAGAAGCTTCTTAAATTCGGACACTGAGTTCGCCTCTACGATGTGCTGCAGCAAGTCGTTCCCTACATTCACCATTCTGCATTCGAAGCAGAGTTGGTGAGCGACCCGTTTCCAATCCAGTACGACAACTTTATACCGGTGTCCTGGCGTGCAGCTTGGTGTGCGCAGATGAAGCAGTTGTCTCAACATGGGGTAATCACTCAGATGTAATATCCGGTGCGTCTGATGAGGTCAACCCACAGACGACGATAAGCTAGGGTGTACAGCCCTAGTTTCTTACATCGGTCTTCGTATGGCATACCTCGTAAGTTGGGAATCAGCCTGGTGGCTACAAGCTGCACCCGTTCAAGCTTCACTACCTCGCCTGAGCAACTTGAAGTCGCGTATGTGTTGGACCGAGTGTTTGATTGTGCACCAAAGCGCCTTGCGACTGATCGGCTAACCCAGTGGCTTTTGCTTGTAAATTTTTCTGTCGAAGCATTGTAAGCGAGATGAACCGCTCACTAATGGTAACCGACTAAATCCACTCGTTAGCCAACCACGTGGAGGCAGACGATCAATGTACAAATTCAGCATGAGGAAACAGTCACGAGGAAATGTGACCTTATTGGCGTCAAAAATAGCAAATGAAATAGGAAATCGTGTGCATATAGCGATAGCAGAAACAGTCATTATTACGGAGGGGATACACGGCCCTGCCAACCCAAAAGAGTTGCGAGTCTTGGAGAGGTGTCAAGGGACACAGATGTCGGAGAGCGCAACGTCTTAAGGGACACGGAGGAATTTAATGCGATGAGCTGAGAGAGAGGAGGTAACCAGTGCCACAAATATTCGGCTGAGCTAGTCAACACATTCTTGGTCATGGGGCGAACATTTGTCCTAGCCAACAAACACAGAGGAATACTAGTTCGCAGAAGCAAACCTCCAACTCCGTGATGACAGACGAGTGTGCTGATAATGTTCGATGGTAAAGACGGAGCACAACTAGTTGACAGGGGAGCCAAAGGTGTCATCAGAAGTGTTATAGACGCAACGCATCCGCATAGAATCAGGCGGGAATTGCGCACTCAATTGCTATCTGATCTGGGGAACCAACATACTGGTGAGGTACAAGCTTAGAGATACCGGAGTGTTCCAAGATCCACAATCGCATGGCATGTTGATCGATAAAAATTCGCACGCTCCTGCTGTTGTTACTGAGTGGATGCATCGATAGAAATAGCTAAATAACAATCGGTAAAAATAGTATGACTGCCAGTAACCTCCGATATCTCGGACACTCAGCTAAATTACAAAACAAGTCGGTTAATAGAAAAACAAACTGGACCCGGAATAGCTCTTGATCGACTGTATTGTGGCAAGACAAATGCCACGGAACAAGAACATACTAACAGGCCGCGTTCTTGTCTAAAGAACGATTGACATGCACAAAAGATGTGGACTGGTGAGCGACTGTCTCACGAGCAGTGCCGTGCATATACCACCCATAACGCTCCTCGGTATGCGGTCGCCCCTTTGATATCCTGCACATGCGACGATTGGACAGGGGATACCGAGTAAAACAAATCCCTGATAGTAAAATAGCAAACGCGATGTATTACAAGCACGGAACAGTGCCCCACAGGAGATTCACTACTACCTGTGTCACACGGCATTTTGGGCATACATGGGAATGTGAGATTCGCAACACCAGGTTCAATTGCTAGATGGGAGGGAACTAAACCGTTAGCTCTTAAAGTGAGTAAGTCCAGTTTTTTGATCCTGCAAAAAACGCTGCTTCAAATGAACACCGTATGGGTTCTCTGAATGAGCAAAAGATGCAATTTACCGTGACTGCTTCGGTGAACTCTGCCCCAAGCTGCGTTCATCACCTAGACATGGTGAACAGTGCTGCACACTCAACATTCTCGAACGCAAGTTTTGAGGCAACAGTCGTGAATACCGCAGAATGGGTTGAGCAATAGGTATATCTAATGGTTACCCGAATCGAGTATACAGAAAAATCAGTACCGCGGACAGTAACTACATTCAATCTAAACCTGACCAAATGTCATATCAGAATGAATCACCGCATCGTTCCTTCGGTGGAAGATAAATGATGACAATTTCTATATACCTGAGGCGCTTTAGTTACTGTGCATCGCTGTACTCAAATACCTTGAATTCTTAGCCTGATCAATCCGCAGTGGTTTGAAGTGACGGCGCTTCGCATCAACCAGACAGTGTCGATCTTAGCTCAATTTGCCCTACTGACAACCCCAATGGGAGACATGAGATTGTGGACAGATCAGTCTGTAGCGAGCAGAGGATCGTCTTTCTCTGAGCACAGATACAACTCCAATGAGATGGAGAAGTGGGACAATCGGAACAGTGAGAGTCAAGTGAACCCAAGACAGCCTTGATGGTCTCAGGTTGTGTTGTTCAGACCCAAAACTAATTTCGACTCTGCCAAAAAAATATTGAACAAGAATACATGTTAGTTGAAGGGAATAGTGAGGGTGCAGTAGATGGATTCCACGCTAAAGGTCTAGCAACTCTTGCCCATCTGGTTAGCAAAAAATGGACCAGAAGATGCAGTCGACAGGTAAAGAGCCAAACAATGTAAATGACTATTATTCAGAAAGAAATTATGGCAGGAGGAAACAAAATCCAGCAGAAGAGAGGGAAGACAGAAGTTAATGCTGGGTAAGAAGCCTCTAATCAATGGACAAACAATCGAGGAAACGGAAAAAGTGGCTAAAACATCAATTATTTAGTAAAATAGTTAAACGACTATGTCATGAATCCCGTCGCTAGGATAGCAGTAATCAACACAAAGGAGAATGAGATAGAACAGAACCAGAACAGAGAAACGCAGAAAAAGGTGGATACAATTAATCGAGTTCCGAAGTTACTAGCCTAATGCAAGATAACGGAAGCAGGACGCGAGTAACTGCGCGACGGCGTCATAACTGATAACGTATTCGACTGTCAGCTAGACCCTCAGCTAAACAAAATCTCTCAACTAATTTTCCATTATATTTCCTTCCACATCACTTGGCGGTTTCGTCCAAGCAGGTGCAGTAACAATGGGCATACGGAGGACGTAACCTAGCCAACGTAAGCGGTTCATTTTTGGTATATGGTCCAGTGTGTTTCTTCCCAAACGTCAACTGGTCGACCTCAGTATTGCTCGCATGGTTCGACCACCGGATGCGAGCAGTACTCTGCAAGCATCGATGATCAAAGACAATTAGTTTCTTAACGGCTTCAGTGCGAAGTGGGCATGTTTCTGACTAAAGCAGCCACAGTAGTCGCACGAGGCAGCGTTGTACACTATGCCTACAACAGACAAGTTGAAAATACACAGTTGAACGGTAGTGATATCGGATTGTTGACTCTCCAAAATAATGAATATCGTGATGCCATCTGTAAATCATTTGGTAAACCTTAAATCATCATACCTGTTAAGGAAGTAAACTATATAAGAAAACTGGGGGATGTGACAACCTGTTCCCGTTAAGGGTTGATTAGCTTATGCTCACTGCCATTTCCATTCCACTTTCCATCATCGTTAGTCAGAGTCTTTTGCTTGGTCATGATGGTACGGTGGCTAAGCATCAATGCGTGCAACCGGTGTTACATGACAACTGAGAAGTGGAAAGAGGATAACCCGAATGTCAGCTTGGGTGGCAGTGATAAACGATGAGGGAACATGACGGATTCAGTTGGAGGCATCACCAAGAAGTGACTTGTAGGAACAAGGCAGACGATCCACTCAGTTTATCGCACGGACCTAACTCATTGGGCATGGCTTCGATTGGAGTATAGCGTGCAAAATGACATAATGCAACTGGGCCACATGCAAGTTGACCTATGTGATGAAAGCTTGCGAAAGCACCTGACATCATACCTGAGTTCGTAAATCAAGGCTACCTCCTAAGATGAGAAGACACTCGTAATGGCTATAAAATAAAAACGTAAGAGATAGCACACGTTCACGTACACGGACAAGACAAGATATACTTACAATAATATCCTGTGTATCCCGGGGAGACGAACCGGCACACGAAGCATGGATCCCACTGTCCACAACCGCAGTGCCAGGACCGACTGCGGTGTCTGTGTGTAGAGCATAAAGCATTCGGCGAGCCTCAGCCAGTTCGGATAAAGAGTTCCTACGGCCTTCATAGATCAAGTCGGTGCGAGAGCAACTTCCGGCATTATAAACCACACGAGGCGTCGAATCTCGGGACAATACAAGTCGAACCGATCTGTCCCATGTGCGAAAAAGGTGAGACCATGTGGACTGGTGAACCTCCCTAGAAAGAGGATGCAGAGTATAAGGTACAAAGTCAGTTCCTCTACACAAATACGGGCAGAACTGAGTTTTCTTTTGAAAAAGGATGTGACCGAGATCAGAAGTTAGCAGAGTTGGACAGAAACAATCTAATACAAGACAAAATAAATAGAACAACGTAACGTCAAATGGAGTCCGGCTAGTAGCAGAGTGGTTCATTGAAATGCGTCTGCGCAGCGTCCCTAGATTGCACGCAAGTGTTGACTACTGCGTGACAATTAGGTGTACTACTGATGCTCCCATTTTCCAATTAGCATCAAATCGGGGTGCGAGAGAGCCGTTTCATCGCATATTCGCAAAGTTCATCTTGTGGAGTGAGTAAGTTGAGATATTTAGGGTGGAGTGATTAGCTAACACAATGGTAGTTCCGAAAGCGAATCGGGAAACTGCAAACTACGGGAACACATTTTGCTCCTCTGGTCGCCACATCTGAGATTTCAACCAGCGTTCATTCCAGAAGATGATCAATAGGAGAGGCTCGTAATTCCACCCATATCTTCATGACATATCTCTGGGCAAAGGGAATAGAATGCAGTGAAGACAGCCATATCGAGGTATCCCCGAGTTAATGTCTAAAAGGTAAGGCATGCAGTCACATTCGCACTCACATTATGAAACCAGATAAGAGTGGGTTAGCAACGGCCCAACTCTCATTGTTTCCATGTGCATCACCAACCACAGCTGTTTAGAGACCGTCGGACATAAAACCCATCGGTAACGTTCATCTCTTATGTAAAAGAACACAATTAAGAATAGCGAGATCGCATCAAGTGGTTATAAATCTCAGGTGATCAGTCCATCGGAAAGCAGTAGGCTATCTAAGAGTGAATTCTCACCGTACTGATGTATAGATGTATAGTAGAGTGACTTAGTTAAAGATGGATGGACGGCAGCCGGTAACAGGGCGTGTCAGTGCAATAACAGAATCCGGTACCTAGTGAAGTGGTCATAAACATCACCAGGTACAGGTGGTGAGCACTGAGGTGGGATGGACAGCGGATCTGAAAGAATAACTAGGCATTGACGAGTGCGAGGAGGCACAGTGGTTACTCAACAAGCCATAACAAAGTGCCCAACTCCGGAACTAGTTGCATGTAATGAAGACACACAAGAGGTGATGCGAAAAATGGATACCGAGTGAGAACTCCAGTTGTCATTTCCAGATGATGCGGATAAGTAAAAAGTTGGATACAGCGCCACAAACTGCTGTGAAGATCAGGAAGGCAGCAAACCCAATCGGCCCTAGATGTTAGAAAGGGAAGCGACAGATAAAACCCCGACCAACCAAAGTGAAATGAGAAAGACAGCCGCGCTAAGAATAGAGGTATTCGAAACAATCTCAGAAGGTGGTCGACAGCAAAACGCAGAATCCATCGCAAGTGTTGCCGGAAGGTAATCAACCACGAGATGGAAGGTGACGATGCCATTTAAAGCATAAAAGTAACGTTCTAAATCGGCAAAAAGCACATCTTCTAGGAACGTCGAATGAGTGATGGTGAGGATGCGAAAGATGGAAAAAAGGCCCAATCTCGGGCTTAAGATTAACCTTACAATAATGAAAGACCGACACGTTGTGACTTTATCGTACTCCAAAACAGTTCGATCAATATGCGTCGCTGAGCCACCGACACTGAGTTCCGATGAAATGTTGCCGATAGGGAACAAAAAGAGTGGGTGTATATTGAAGCACACATTGTGTGGGCGAATTGCAACAAGCGGTCTCAATTTGAACCGCGATACAGGATGAAGTGAATCTCGATGAGTTCGATCAATGGGACCGCATCCGAAACAGGCAGATGTTGAATGCTGTTGGTTCGCAACCCACAATGAGGCATCTACCGTTTTGAACAGCGTTGCCGAATATCCTTTGGTGTTGCGCGTAATCCATCTGAGACATGCTATTCTCTTATACTCAAACAACGTACATCAGAGTGGGTGTTCACAATCAAACAAAGCCGAAAACTAGTTAGCCGAAGGCACGAATGGGTTGGAAGACAGAGTAGGTCCTGTTGTGTGCCGTTTACCAGATGGTTTTCAAAATTGGAGTCATCTGTGACTAAAGATACAATGGTATGTTATTATCATTATAATTATGCATAGAGTGCACCAGCGAAGTTAGTGTCACAGTTGAAGTATTACGTTTGCTACAATTCACAGCTGCAAAGCTGTTGTACTCTCATGTTCGTCTTGCTCACAGGTTTTATTGCTGGTAACCGCATTATGAATGCTCGACCGAACGTGCTTTATAAAGCTTCTTCTTCTCTAGCTCAACTTTCCGTTAACCTTTTATCCCATTTGCTCACCTATCAGTTGATAACACTGGGATAAAATAAATCCTCTGCATTTTCCACATCTCAATGCTCCTCTGCCCATCTCACACTACTGTGAGGGAAGTTATTCGCCCGACAATTTCAGACTACTCCTACGAAAATTTCGAGAGTGAGGACCAATTCACCTGGAAACGCTTCATTGTTAGAACATAGACTACGATGAACATAAGTGACAGTTGCATTTCCGCGCTACAATTCACGTAAGCTTTTTGATGAAAAGCTATCCAAACTAAAGTGAACAACCCGTGTATAAATATGTTTTGCTCTTTTGTTGTGCAACTTGCTCATATGTTTCCCGCCGTCAGTGAACTTAAACTTATCGACCATGCTTTTACCCGTGAGTCTCACCTCCTTTCATCTGCAGCCAAATACTCTGTTACGATTAGTACTAGAGCAACGGGTTGCAGTTCTTATGCTATCATGAGCGCAGTGGACGTAAGTAGACTAGAGTGCGGCAGTGGTTCTGCACTTAACTAGTTCAAATGTGTAAGTACGCTGAAGTATGGGGGCCGGATGCAGTCTGAAAAGCGGTTAACAAGTGGATCAGCCAAGGATGCAAGGCACTCGGAGTTCAAATTACCATCAAAGAACACAACCAGGGTAAAGTAGTGAAAAGCTGCAAGGCTAAAGATGAGAGTGACTTATACTCTCAGCTGACAGAAGGGCGGAAATTTGGATCTTAAAGCACGAAGCCCCGGATGGACGCTGAAGAACGGATCCAAGTGCCAGATTAATTGAATTGTGAAATAGGAATAGAGTAGGAAGAACACAGAATATCACACGTGAGGTATTAGAAGTCAGGTTGTGAGGTTGCATGCAAAGGTGTGTGCTTTAATTGAGGGTTTTAAGTCAACCCCGAGGAGCACAAGGCGGTAGTTTCATCCTACCGGGACTTGTTGCGGATCCTTCGGTTTCATCAGAGTCGCGCCTGCGAGGTGATTTCATCCGGCCCGCGAACGACACTCAATTGTGAACACCAAACTGATTCACGTGCCTATGCGTGCCCAGTGTTTCCGGCCTTCGCATTAATGCAATTTCGAACAAGTCATTGCATGACCCCATTCTGTTTGAACACGTTTATGCATTATTACCGCGGCATCACAACTATGTTTGGCCCCTCCATGTCGCCTATCAGCTTGGACAGTTTGAGCGATGCTACGTGTAACCAATTGTACGAGACCGATCACACCGCAATTCTGCACTTCGCACTGTAAGCTCGATTGAGTTTCGCATTCTCTAACCCTTAACACACGTTTGACCTCATTCATCTGCTTGCACGTTAGTGTTTATGTGACCCACGCAGTCGTATGTTTCACGCGAATGCGCCGTGGCGTTCGTGCGGCTGTGCATGAAATTGATCCATGTGACATACGCAAACCACATTGTGGTTTAGTAAACTGCACGAAAGCGTCTTGTGAGGGTGTGTATGACACGTCCTAGGGATAACTTTCGAGCCCATGACTTCCATGAGCAGTGGAATCTCGTAAAGACAGTGGGGGGATGCTACAGGCGTTTCAGTGCAGATCAGAAATGTGCTTATGGTTGAGACGGCGAAGTGCCCGTGATAAACCAGATGGACGGCAAAGTGGTCTTTGGGCGATTTTGGTACCTCTGCGGAACGTCCGGTTGCCATTCTCAGAAGCGCAGTTGAAAAACGATGCCGCAAGCTGCTCATTTCAGCCGGCCGTATTGACATTTTGTAACGGCCCTTGAATGGTATAAACGTTGTGACGTAAGCTTCAGATGCTTGTTTGCTGAGCCGTAACTTCACTAGCAGCCACTAGTCCTCTGCTTTGCAAATGTTCTAGTAGGATGCCAATTACCTTTCCAATTCAGTGTCTCTTACATTTTCAGCTCACGTGAAATGCACCGCTTCTTATGGATACTAAGAAGAGGAAAGTGGACGCAGAATGTCGCGTTTTCAACGACGAATGGGGATTGAAGTACTTCTTAGTAGAGACAAAGGACTTGAAATGCAACTGTGTCATATGCGGCAAAGTATAGCGGTTTTGAAAGGAGTACAATCTTTGGCGTCATTATGAAACAAAACGCATATTATCATAATCCAAATATTCGGGGAAGCAAAGCTCGGAGAGATATGAGTCCATGAAAAGTGGCTTTTAACCACAAAGAAATCTCTTCATGAGAAAGTTTACTGAAAATGAAACTGCCATTCGTACAAGCTAAAATGAGTTCATAAGATGTCTGAACGAGGAATACCGTTTACTGATGGTAACTAGATCAGAGTGTATAATGGAATGGTTTGTGCCCTGAGATGGCCGTCTTGATTTCCACTATCGGCGTTTCAGCAAGTTCTGTTGCGTGGAGAAGAGAAGAACTAGGAGAGAACATAGTGCTGCAGATACGCCATAAAGCTAAAGACTTTTTGTTGTTTTCCCTGGCGCTGGATGGGTCTACTGATCTATCGACTACGTCATAATTTCGTGTTCATTGTTGGTGTCAATTCGAGCTTTCAAATAAAGGAAGAGCTGGCGTCAATCTGCAGTATGCATGGAACGACAAGTGGAAAGGACATTTTCGTGGAAGTGCACAAAATTTTGCAACATTAAAACCTGCGGAATCGGCTTCGAGGTGTGACAGTTGATGGAGGGAAAAACATGGCTGGAATGCAGATCAGGATTCTGTTGGAAGATTTGAAAATGCCGGTTGATCTGTTCATTCACTGCATCCTACATCAACAAACACTCTGTGGGAAAGACTTGGATATTTCTTATGTACCCAAACCAGTCATTTCTGCTGTCAACATCATTCGGGGACATACTCTCAATCACCGTCAGTTACAGACTTTTCTGAAAGACATTGTTTCCAAATTCTGGAATTTAGCTTACCACACACATCCATGCGATTGCTCAATTGAGGTAAAGGTCTATAGTGTTTTTACACTCTCCGAAACGAAATAGCTGCGTTCCAGAATGAAAAACATAACGCCGACCCACGGCTGTCGGATCCTGGGTGGCTGCCAAGTTGGCATTTATGGTCGATATCATATCCTACATAAATGAGCTGAACTTGAAACTGCAGGGAAAGAACAACCTCATCTGTGATCTGTACAGATTCATCAAAGGATTTCGGCGAAAGTTGTCGTTGTTTGAAACACAACTGGAAGAAGAAACTCTTTCTCATTTTAACTTTTTCAAGGAGTTTTGTGCTACGATCGCCGAAGACGCCTTGCTCGAGTTTCCGATAGCAATCATTCGTGAATTTTTGGGAATTTCACATCTTTACAGAATTGAGAGTAAAATTCATTTGTTGCAGAATGCGTATGATTGCAACAATGATGATGTTCCGTCTGAACCACAGTTAGTGCTGACTGACTTGCAGGGAAATGACATTTTCAAACAGAAACACAGGGAAAAACTTGTCGGATTTTAACGCGCCCTATCTGATGTTGAATTTCCGGAACTGAAAAAATTTGCAGCTGTTATGGCATCAGAGTTTGGAACAACTTATGTCTGTGAGGAAACATTTTCAAAAACGAAGCACGTGAGGTCAGCTGATCGAACGAGACTAACTGATAAACATTTTAAAGCAATTCGCTTGATCGATTGCAGCCATTCCAAAGCGAACATTGATGTGATATAGTGAAAGCCAAACTTCAAGTTCAAAGATTTCATTTTTTGCAGCCCTTTGCAACTTCCGGATGTGTGGATATAGGTGAGATAACTTAATTTTAGTTACCGTCACCCCCTGTTAATATGATTTTCACTTCATGAATATGTTGAATTCCTTTCATTTTTGTACTTTGTACGTCACTCACCCATAGTTACGACAGAATGTGCGACATAAGTTGCAGTAGTTTCATTAAGTATCTAGGTTATGGCCTTTGAGTGTTGTGCAAAGTCCAATCCGGCCCGCGGCCGTCATTTCGTTCGCAATCCAACCGACCTATAAAAAAGGTTGGTGACCCCAGCTCTAACGGAAGGCTATCGCTTAGTAAATAAACACGCAAACAGCAAGTAAGCGCGTTACTATCCACAAACATGGCCATCTGAACTTGGCAAATAAACACACAGGAACTTCCCAATCGAGTGAGAGAGAAGGGGGTGGAGAGTAACTGTCAGGGAGGAAGATTTATACTCTCTCCACACAAGTGTCGCTACCACTCGGCAAGGTAGTGGATGCAGTAAGAGTAAATGTGGGCGGAAGTGTAAATACGACGAACAGTCACAAAAGCGCTAGGTATAGCAAGAAGCAGAAGGTAAGTCTCAAAAGTAGAATAGCAGGTCATTTAGCAGATGATAAAATATGGATTGACTGAACAGTTGAACTGAACGGATTAGTGCGAACGAGACGGCATGTGCAGAGGGCAGGAATAGCAACAATATCAGGCACAGAACACAAAATGTACTCTATGTTTGCTAACTTTTAGTAGGTTGTCCCGAAATCAAACGAAGTTTTTGCACCCCATTCCGGAATATTTTGGTAGCTTCTGGAAGATTCTTTTACATGGGTACATGAGGGGACACACTGGAGCAATTATCTAACGTAGTCCATTTAATGTATAGTTTAGCAATGGCTGCGGTATTGGCTAATGATCAACATGCTGCTCGCGGATGCTTATTGTACGAGTATCTATAAAGGCGTAAAGCAATCGAGGCTTGTCGAAACATGCGTGGCGTACTAGACACGGATGCTCCGAGTTACGGTATAGTGACATTTTGGTTCCGCCGATTCAAAGTAGGCAACTACGATTTGTCCAACATCGGAGGTCAAGGACGTAAGCCGGTGGACATTGACAGCAGCATCCAGGACGTTCTAATGGAGGATCCGAATCAAAGTGTGCGTGAAGTCTCGTCACACCTTAACCTTCCAAAAACCACAGTTCATCGCCATCTGTGGCAATCTGGAATGCTCCCAAAGCTCGGACAACTTGTACCACACGAATTGACTGATAAGCAGCTTTTGAAGCGTTGTGCCATCGCACTTTCATTGCTCACCCGAGGAGGCCATCATCGATGACTGAATGATATCATTACTAAAGAAGAGAAGTGGGTGCTCCATGTTAACCACAGCAGGAAGCGTCAGTGGATCGCAGCAGATGAAACGTCAGTACAAGTCCCGAAAGGCGAAGTGCACGGTAAAAAAGTGCTGCTGTCGGTCTGGTGGGATCGCCGCAGCGTCATGCATTGGGAATCGCTACCTGACAACTACTGTTACTGCCGATTTCTATTGTCAAGAACTGCCAAAGATGGTCGACGAACACCGAAAAGGCGTCCAAAAGCGACCCGAATCATTCTCCTGCATGACAACGCACGTCCCCATGTTGCACAGATGATGCGTCTCAAAATTCAGCAGCTAGGTATCGAAACTCTTATGCATCCAACACATGGCCCGGACCTTGCTCCTACTGATTACAACCTTTTCCGCTCGCTTCAAAATCACATCAAGGACAAGAGATTCCATGGCCGCAAACATATCGAAACATACGTTGCCCAATACTTTGACAGCCAGCCCAGCTCGTTCTATGGGAGAGGCATCGACAACTTGCCAGGGCGTTGGCAGTACGTCGTCGATAACAACGTATGTCACGTTGATTAAATATTGCTGCTTGTTTGAAGTAAATATTGATTGAAAAAGTGTGCTAAAAAATTCGATTGGTTTCGGGACAACGTAATAAATGAGCAATCGCAGTGTAAAGCAGTAACACCGACAAGAATACTCCCTGTGTTCCAGCTGCCACTTCGAGCTGCACGAGATTGAAAAGATGGAACTTAAGTGGAGCCCGAGAAGGAGACGAAGCAGTAAAGCCTAAAAGAAACACCTACCGAGGCTTCATCGCTCCCTAGTTCGAGGCATGCAGTGATAAACCAACGCAGGTAATCGAGATTCGAGCATATAGTTTTGGTGGTGAAATCAAAGTAGGCAAGCTTAAAAACAGGAGAGTAACTGACTGAGAGCACGGTGCTCAGCAGATATCATGCCGACTCCAAATTATCAGGAACGATTTAACGGTTCGTGCGTACACTCGGAAGTCGGGTTGCAATGGTGGATGAATTGTAATAACACCCACATCAGACGAAATTGTAGACACAACTGACCGGTAAAACAATAGAAATGGGTCTCGGGTGTGATGCGCACGGCTACCAGTCCATAAAGTGGATTCAGTAGTTAACTGTCCAGTGTGGTATTCATGTAGCCCCAGGAAGGGGGAGGAAATCACTCACTTCATACAGGGGACAGGTGACTGTGGCGACATCTGCAAGCATGCATCAACTTCATCGTCAACATCACTGCCTATCGCGTCATTCTCATCCTGTGGGACAGGGTGTGATAGCGGAGGAAGAATTGGGGTCACCGACGGCGCCTGCGTATCATGATCGATTGGAGAGGGAGCTCTAAGAGAAGGATGCGAGTCAGGTTGATCGAGTGCAATTTCTTCAAGGGGGCTTCGACCTGATTCAATGTGAGGCACCGATTTGGTTGACAGTGCTTGATGACTTCCAGGAACACACTGAACGGAAATCGTGGGACTAACCTCAGCTATAACTGCACAAAAATAGCAAGAAAAGTGAAAAGATGCAGGTGGTAAGAACATTAACCAGGAAAATTGTGTGAACAGAGTAAAGGTGATAACCTGCCAGAAAAAGTGCAAACTGGAGGCCGAATGAGGGACGATAGAGGATGGCGGAGGCGAGTTAGACCCCTGTGCGATTGCGAACATGTACGATTAATCTGAAGAAAAGTGGCAGGACAAATTCGAAATCAAGCAACCTCAGAAAAGGCCAATATAGCATGTGATGCCCTAAGCAGAACGTGACGCACGTTAGTAGAGCGTAGTTCATACGGTCTTGACTGGGGAGCAACAGCGACAACGAACAGTGGGAGAATAACAAACAAAAGATTCGTCCGCATATCTTCCGAATTCTGTGTAGTACACAATCGCCTTGCGGAACGTCATAGCGCTGGAGCCAAGCAATAAAAACCGCACAGTTCGCCACTGGGCCGACAGTGAAAGTTGAGCCGGGATTTCAAACAGTCCAGTCTCAATCGGGCGGGTCCGTCGCATAACACATATTGTCAAATCTCGAGGAAAAGCAGAGTGACGGAACGGCCGACTGGTGCTTTCCCACACCTGTGGGAATCTCATTGACCAATGGTGTTTGCGATCAACTACATACAACAATACTCTAAAATACCCAATACTCAACATCAATCAAAACATTCATCCGAAAATCGTGCAAATGCTGTGTCGTAAACAGTCGTTGTGCTTTCTTTGGATCAACAGGTGACCAAAAGCCAAAGGCAGAGCGACAGCAATTGTAGAGAGTGATGGGGGTTACAATCGTGATAAAGTACGAAGCATTAGAAGTAAAAATTACAGGGTAACCCGTCCGGAGGTGGATAAGCACAATGGTACGTAGGTGACAACATTGGAAGGGAGTTTTCTCGGGAGCAGTGGTGATACGCACAAGCAACTGGGAAGGAAGCATCTTTAACGCCGTGGAGGGTTTCGGTGTGGCTGTCTCTCATCCCTGCACTTCACGACCGACGGTTCCGTCTTGGTTTTGACTCGTCAGGTAGAGGTAGCCGAGCTGGGAGTGGAACTCGGCGCATAGCGCTTGGCGACTTGACACAGTGGATAGAAGTTGATTTTCGGGCTTTGGAGCACCCGCCGTGTATCTTGGATTGCGACACGCAACCTCAGTAGTGCAGTTAGCACCTGCGAGTTCCTACTCGTCTCGCTTTTATGTCACTGGCTGGTCTGTGATAGTGTCAACTGACGGCGCAAACAGAACAGAGGAGGGACCGGGGAACAGAAGTACAATCAAGTAACGTGTTTGTTGGTCGATGAGTCAACCAGCTAAAGATGAGAGTTGGTTCCACCGAGCTCAGTGTCTGTTCTAAACAGGGAAGGCGCCAGGATAAAAGCGACAGAAGGCAAGTGTGGACCCATGAAATTGAGCCAATAGTGCAGGGGGAGTGAACAGCGAGCAGCTGTGACACTGCAATCTGAGTGGATGTACGGCATGAATGACGCCGTCCCCCATACTGAACCCCACTGTGGAGTGCAGAGATGGGAGAGAGCCACACCGAAACCCTCCACTTCGGTGACGGTCCCAGTGACCGTTTTGGCAGAGGCTGACTTTAACGTCAGCCGAGGCCACGATTGAGACTGCGTGTCGCAATCCAAGACACACGGCGGGTGCTAAAAAACCCGAAAATCGACTTCTAACCGCTGTGTCAAGCACTGCTCGTGGAGCTCAATGGCCTAGTGATCATGGCGATAGCCGCCAAGCACTACGTGCTGAGTTCCAATCCCGGCTCGGCTATTTCTACCTGATGAGTACAAACCAAGACGAAACCGTCGATCGTGGAGTGCAGTGATGGAAGAGAGCCACACCGAAACCCTCCACTTCGGTGACGGTCCCAGTGACCGTATTGGAAGAAGCTGACTTCAACGTCAACCGAGGCCACGATTGAGATTGCGTGTCACAATCCAACACACGGCGGGTGCTCCAAAACCCGAAAATCATCTTAAACGCCGATTTATTTGAGAAACAACACACAGCCTCATCCTTAGAAATGTTGACCAGTTCGTGTTCACGAAATGTTGGACAGAGATACAGGAAGCTAGGCAAGCAACCATGCTTGAAGAGAACTTAAGGAGTGAAAATGAGTGCCAACTAAAAGTGATGGCTAGTTGTTTAGATTCAAAGTGGCTACACACAGGGAGGCATCAAAAAAGAAGGAGATGACAGAGGATTGCAGCTGGGAGTAAACCTATCCAACTCATACTAAAACGTGAATTGTGGACAATATGGTAAGCAAGCTCACGGATAAACGGTGTGTGTACAATACACGATCGCTGATATCTCGTCACAGAATTGTCCGTCGTTATGACTGGGAACAGTCCACGAGATGCCAATGTCTAGGGGAAGTGTACAAGTGGTTGCATTACATCAGTCACATCCACAAGCTCCACATCTCATGCGAACAGAAAGAAAGAAATATGAAGTGTGCCGATGGTAACCATGAAATAGGCTCGCACTTCTCCAGTGCACACACCACTGACGTAAAACAGGCGTAACACGCAGCTGATTACTTTTTGAGGGAGCCACTCATTAAGGATAACACTGCCATGAAAATTGTCTTTTTCTTTCCAGTTCACTTCGCTCGACATGCTGATGAAACTGGCGCGCGAGACCGTCAAGGTTGCAGTTACTGCTCAGACATCTGTGGCACCATTCGTTGTAGCCAAGTGAACAGTGCGCCATACTCCACCCCATGGAGTAGCCACTTTACTGAGTAAAGCCACTGCCTGTGAGATAAGCTATGCACAAAATCGCTTACGTATCAAGTTACCACAGTAGCCACTTAACCCAAGTCACTCGTATCGAGTGGCGTTCCGGTTCTATATGTCATCCTCTTCACTGTCTATGACTTCATTGACCAGATTCCTATTTTTGATGATGTTGCAACTGTATTGCGCAGCCGGCTTGCTGCAGCAAGCATAACTTATGAGCTGAATAACTATTCTCAGTCACTCGTAGGCATGTTTCACATACAATGTTACCGCCGATTCAATAAACCATCGTATATGACAAGATAAATAACAATAATGATCACCTGAATGGCCCGATATTTAATGACACATACACTCTTGATTATGGGGAGGAAAATACCCTGTATACTTACGAAACATCGGTACGTCTCCAAGTCAGTGATGAGTAGCCACCTCTCGAGCGAGGTCATCTAGCTGTTACAGCACTATATGACACAGATTTCCGTAGACATCACTCCTGGTCCTATGCTGAGCTGCAGCAAAAACAAAGCCACGTTTTTACTCGCCCAAGTGATTAAAAAAGCGTTTCACATAGTCTTACGGTGAGGTTCTAAACATAGTATGTAGTGTGGTGAAACAAACCATTTACATTCCCTGCACGCTTAACGCCCTTCTGTCCGAGGGAAAGTATGCCCATTTCAACACTGTTTGAGGAAAGTAAAGAGCGTAAATTATCGGCTGGAAATGTTTGTGAGTGGAGGAAGCTGATTGAGTGGCTAAGAACAGCGCTCGCATCACCTTCAGTTGCTGTGCAATCTGTTAAGAGCATCGAGGAAAAGCCTTTTAAAACTCAGTCGTAAACACATGTGACATGCACTAGTGGTTGCCGCTGTCAAAGGACATGAATTGTTCTGCTCGCCATTTGGACAACACCACTGCATCTATTTTCGTGTGCGTAAATGGTATGGCATAAAGTGCTGGGGTCTGGATCAATCCCTTCGGGAAAAAGTGAAACTCGAGTTGTCGAGAGATGCACAATAGTAGTTCATACACTACAATTTGTACACGAGCTTGATAAGAATTGTACATGTATGCAAAAATGAATAGCGGGAAACAGTCAACTCAGATACTGGAAATCCCGAACAACCATGATCAGTCAAGGGCCAAATGAGGTAGACAGTGTGGTGCGCCTCAATGAGAGAATCCGAAATGAGGTGCACGGTCCACGAGACTTCAGTGAAGAATGTTTAATCTTGCGCGACTACCTCTAATAGTCCCTGATATACAGAGTAAAGGCCGAAGGCGTCAGTACGCGCAGAAACGTTTGTGGATATTGCTAAGAAATCAGGGAAAATAGGTTAACAATAATATAGTAAGAATACCATTTTACCACACATATTTTCGCTACACAAGGACTGAGAAGACGATACACCAAATCACCTGAGAGTTCTACCAGCCGTAGTGACCAGCATACAAAAAGCTACAGCTAACACACGATTGTAGAGACCTGGAGATTCCCCGGTTGATGTGTAAATCAATCCTAAATACTATGAAACGATAGTTTCGCATGTATTAGGGAAGTAAATGGTTTACATGTTTGTATGGTGCACGTGTTTATATGAGACACGCCGACAACATTCGGACTTTGTCGGCGGGCTTCGAAGAGAAGGTCGGTTCTTTGAGCGCACTCTGCACCCTACCATATACTACCTAGCTAGTCATCTTCCGGTGCCTTATTTTTAGTCTTAGGATCTAGCAACTTTCTAATAAACATTTTTCTAGCTTATTTCAATGTGTTCTACCGCAGGTCTTTGGTTGGCCATTCAAATCTGGGTATCAGATATACCGTTAGACCAACGCGCTATACGATCGATATACCATCTTGAAATAGTTGCACGTCAAGGCACATCGACAACCCGCAGTTTTCCTTCTTTCCTTCCGTTATTAAATTTATGGGAGCCTCAAAATATATCAATGGGAATACATGTTGCTACTTCTTTACGGCATCCAAGAACGACGGGGCATCAATTTGGAATTCAGCACTTAATAAGAAGTGTTCCTACAGTAATGTAATAACAAGGACACAGTGATCGGGATGAAATATCTGAACCCAATCTGTGCAACTTAAGTAGATTGAATAGAAAAACACATGAAACGCAGGCGTATCCGTCGCCTGAGTCCTTTTGTTTCAATATTCAGCAGTTTGATGCTTTAAAATATTGACCATAAAACAGTTTCCAAAACGTGTCGCGGAAAATGAGGA